GCAGGAAGTCCAAGAAAGAGCACTCTTCCTCTGACTTCCCTTACTCCTTGTGAAATGAGGGTTACAGGAATTGGAATAAGAAGTCCTCCAGCTTAACATTATTTTGACATTATGTTGAAATAACTGTTTGTAGTGTAGACACAGACTATGTTATTTTGGAATAACGTCAATTATTCTGAAATAACACTGCTATGTAGGTGTACTCTGAGACGGCTGTAAACAAACTTTATGGAATGGCAGGAAATTTGGCTACACCCATGATAAGCAGACATCTGGTTAATTAAAATCATGCCAGACTATAGATGTTGCCAGACCAGAGAGTGCTAGATTAGAGAGGTTCAGACTGTATACATTTTAATGCAACCCAGGGGGAGTAATTTAATAGCAGTGCATGTATATTACTAAACATTTTCAAAATACTATACAGGGATTAAATAATTGTAATTAACAGGGCTCGACAAATAATGTAATCTACTTGCCCGGGGCAAGTAGATTACAACCTGGAAGAACTGGCGCAGAGTGATCTGTGCATACGCAGAATGATCTGCGCATGCGCAGAGCGCAGAATCGTGCAAAACCGTGCGGCTGGCAAGTGGAGCTTGCTGCTGCTTGGCGAGCCCTGGTAATTAATATACTGCAGGCATTATCAGTACTTACAGAGGTGCAAGAAAATTCCAGAAGAAGATTGGTTACTTTATATCATGTCTGGAAGTGACCGTGTTAATTCAGGTTTTCCTCTCTAAAATATTTTTTATTTGTTTTAGGATTTTTGCTTTTTAAAGATTATTGTATGAATGAAATTGATGAAGCAGTCCCTCAACTGAAATTTTATGAGGAGGTAAGAAACCTTTTATCTTCTATTTGGGGGTTGTTTATTATAAATGTAATTACTCGATTACCAGGGACGTGTGTGTGTGTGTGTGTGTGTGTATGGTAGTGAGGGGCTTGGTAGGAAGAGAATATTTGTGGGACTGGACAAGGTGAAGTGGAAGAAAAGTGGGTTGTATTCTGATATGCATTGTTCTGATATATTTCAGTTTCCTTAACTAGATTAATAATTCATAAGAAATGATGCCTTAGATGTGTAACATTTGTATCTTACAATTACAGTGCTAGCCTTTTAAACGTATATAAGAGGCCCTTTGAAATAAAATGTTAGAAAAAGTATTTCATTTAATTGTGGGGGGAGGGGTTTGTACAATTTTAAATTGTATGTGCTTTTAAGGTGATTACAATTATTTCTTTGGTATCACATTGAAAATGATCACACATTTAAACAGGACAAAATGAAATAATGAAAGCAGAAATTATTTTGCTGTCGTTTGTTCCATATGTGCAGTTATTTGCTACTAGAAGATTAGTCCAATGTTGCTTGGGCCCTTCAGGGCAGGGGCCCAGGAATATGGGGAATTCAGGGGACAGGACAGAGGCTTGGGGAAGTGCAGGATTCATGGTTAGTGGGTGAGCAAGGGCTCAGGGCAGGGTGTTGCGACATGTGGGGGGGCCCAGGGCACATGGTGGTAACAGCTGCTGGACACTCCCTGAGACAGCTCTCTGGGACTTCGTTGCCCAGATGGTGACTGCTCCCTGGGGCCATGCAGCTCGGGGTAGAGGGGGCAGCAGGAGTTACACCCCAGGGCTGGCCTAGGGTGGCGGGGGCTGTACTAGCCCCAGCTAACTACCAGCTACTCTCTAGGGCCAGGCCAGAGGAGGGGCAGAGGCCTTTCTGGCTGGCAAGTGGGAGATCCCTAGGTTTGGGGTTCTTGCTTCATCCCTGTGGTCATTTAGGAGTGTAACTGTTCTTGAAAAGTTTTAATTTATAATAGGAGGAAGCTGCATATCAAATTTGATTGTCCTAGCTCTTACTATTTAGGATTTTTTGAACAAACAGTCTTATAGACAGACAGACAAATGCACAAACTTAAATATAATAGACTATAGTATTTACCCGACATTACCTGGGTACTTGTGGAGGCTCAGAGTAGGGTTTCAGGAGTACAGCAGTCAGGACAGAAGATGGGAGCTCTGGGGAGATTGATGGCAGGGGATCGGAGGTATAGGACTCAGGGTAGGGGGTGCAGGACGTGGGCTCAGGGCAAGAGGTTGGGAGGAAACTGGCAGAGGTGCTTACTAGGGTCACTTCCTGGCCATGCAGCCAGCTTGGTCCCTCCAGTGGCTGCTCAGCTGCCTGGCTTCCCCAGTGGCTGTTTGCAGGGAAGGGGGCAGGGATGGGGAAGGACTGCTTGCCCTCCCCCCAGGCTCTTCTCGGGGGAGGAGGTGTGGGGTGGGACCAGGATTCCTGGTCTCCCTAGAGTCAATGGGGGGAAAGGTTGGGCCTGTGCTGCCCAGCCCTGGCATCTCCTTGGGTGGTGAGGTTGCTGGGCCTGTACTGCCCAGCGCCAGCGGTGCTATTGGGGGACTGTGGTGGTGTGGCTGGGGCTGGCAGGGCTCTCACACTCATCTGGTGCTGTGGCTGAGGGGAGAGGTTTAGGGAGAAGTCCAGCGCTGTGAGAAGAGAGGCTTAGGGAGGGTTCCAGCTAACTTTGGCTTCAGTTGGCCACTCTCTTGCTGGTATGGCCACCCCCTGTGATTATTTTGCGGTGTAGCTATTCATCTGATCAACTTCTCCTTTTCCATGTGACAGAAAACAATCTGATTCCAGGCACATCCCATTGTCCTAGCACAATAAAACCCTGACCTTGCTTTAAGTTGGGGTAAGAGGAAGCTGCATACCAAATTAGTGGTCCTAGCTCTTACCATTTGGGAGATGTCCTTTAACAAATAGACTCATGGACAGAGAGATAGATGCACATTCCTAAAATATATAGCTAGATAACTGTACATATTGAGACTTAGTCTTTTTATTAATCTTCTTGTGTTTCTGTAACAGCGGATTAATAGAAAATTAGAAGTGCAGTTGTAAGAGATTCCTTTGCCTGAAGACATGTTGAGGGTATTTGGTCTTCAGTTTCATGATGCCAATAGGGTGTGCTGGCTTTTGGCTGATGAAGATGATAATGTAAGAAAAAACACATTGGCTGAAACTTAATCATATTATCATTGTCAGATTCATCACCCAAAAAAGATTTTAAAAATACCAGCAAGCTAATGGGAGGGACAAACCATGATTTTTGATTGCAGTAACTTAGATACAGGCAGTCCCCGGGTTACGCGGATCCGACTTACGTTGGATCCGTACTTACGAACGGGGCTTTTCTGGCCCAGCCCTGAGTTACTTCCTCTACCAAGGTCCCACTTGTTATAGGTATTAGATTTACATGCTGCATTTGCGGACTCGACTCCCACACACATTGATGTCAATAGGAAATGCCCTAACCATGTGGGAAACAAAAAACCCTAATAACACCTAAAAAAAACCCCTACTTGTCTACGAGGCCTCAGACTAGGGAGGGATTAGCACTGTGGTCTCTGCCACTCAGCAGGGTACAGCAGTAATGAATACATGAGACCCAGCCTTTAGGCAGGGTGGGACAACACACTGTGAGGGGACTCTGGAGTGTTGGCAGCAAATTCAGGAGGCTCTAGCCTAGAGTTAGGATGGAGTAATGATGAGTGTATAGGCCCAGGTTCTCAAACAGGGAAACCAAGTCAGGGGTCCTGGCTCTGGCTGGCAACGTAGGCATCCTGGCCTATCATGGGGAGGCTGCTACGCAACGGGCGGGGCAGCCGGGGAAGGGGAACACATGGCCATCGGAGTTTACTACTGATACCTTGAGGTACATTCCACACACCCCAGCCAACTGTCTCTGGTAGATAGGAAAAAAGGCCAATTAGCAGCAAAGAAAATACATTCAGCACTTCTCTACAGAGGAAAGGGAATGAAAGGAGTGCTGGGAAGCTGAAAGTCAGGACAGAAAAGAGAATCAAGTGTTTTCTGGGGACACAACTGAGCAGTTGATAAAAGTAATGGTGGAGCAGACAGTGATGCTCAAGTCTTTAATAACGCTACAGAGTGAGTGGATCTGGGATCGACATCCATTGTAGCACATGCATAATTCTTTGTCAAGCAACCCTTCCCCTTCAAGACCACATATTCCTCTTCACTTTGATGGACTACTTGGTCTCCCATTCGCCCTACCACTCTCACAGCTTTGACATGCAGTTGTGAGGTTTTATCTTTTCAAGTCCTTCCTTTACCAGCAAAAATGCGTGTTTTAGTGTGTTTCCCTGTACTTTTCAATAAAGGCAAAGTTTTATCATGGAAAATGTTCTTTTTTTGTGTTCCACATATTTACAAAGCTATCATTTTCTGTCTCAGGTACACATTTTTAAAGAATTTTCCTGCATGTATCTGAATCCCTTTTTTCCTGAATGTGTGGTGAAGTTACTGTATGTACTATACTGAAGCCAAATATTTCCACCTGTTTCTGAATACTGTGACTTGTACTAAATCTGAAACTGAAAGCAAGCTACATGCTTGACTTTTAGTACAGTAGGATCTTTGTTTCATTTAAAAAATTGATTGAAAC